AATCACCAAACAATTCAGAAACTTTTAGCCTTCGAAAATGAAAACAATTAGCAGTTTGTAAGGGCTGTGTAATTTCCTGTTTGTCCGACGCTTCGTTTTCGTGTCACTGTCAAAATTCAAAATTATTGCTACCTTTTACTTAACAGGGACTAAATGGTCTCTATAAAACGATTACCAGGATCGCAAAAAAAGTCAACTCATTTGAAACACTTGCCGGACGTCTCTCTCTCTCTCTCTCTCTCTCTCTTCTGAAATCCGCCTCGGTGATCATGGTCCGGAATCTATTTCTCTCAAAAAAATAAAATAGACAAAAAAAAAAAGACAAATAACGCCGACCGAAAAATGTATATCGTTTAAAAGTATACTGAATGACCAGTGTTATTACGGCTCAGGGGTATGACTTCCTCTCACATTTTGGCATTTGGTGGTGCACTTTCGGCGAGAGTCGGAAATCCGGAAACAGTCTACCGTTTCAGGATAGGTGGGCGTGGCTACAACACGAGAAATATCCCAAATTTACATGGATACGTGTAATCATTTTCGGCAAAAAAATCAATAACTGCCCATTTCAGTGGGACACAGATCTAAAATGGGCAACGTGAGGGTGGGCATTGCACAGGCACTTTAAATCACATTTTGAGCTATTTTTGAATTTTGGAGGTATGTACGGTACCCTCTAGAAGGCATTTGAGACCAGTTTTGAGACTCTCCCACAGAGGAAGATGCCATTTGAGACCGTGTTTGAGACCGATTTAGAGACTCTCTGATGCCACATAGACCGGGAATGAGACCGTGTCTGAGACCAGCTTTAGAGACTCGCGGATGCCCCGCAGACCGGAAATGAGACCGTGTCTGAGACCAGCTTTAGAGACCGTCAATTCGCGCAGTCTGATTGGACAACCATCTGACATCAGAAATTGTATTCTACTCTTTTCACCATGAATTTAGGAACGGAAAAATTGTTGATAGATTTGTTAGCGTACGAGAAAATTAAAACGCTAAAAAAGAGAAAAGAAAATTTTGATGAAAACCATTTTTGTCAAAACAAAGAAAAATTGAAATCTGTTGGTTTACCTGAAATATGTTGAGATTATCAATGGACACTGAGTTTAGATAATGCAAACCTGATATAAGCTTGATAAGGCATTGATAGATAAGGCATTGTCTAAATACCTGTATAAATAACTGCAGTATTCTAAAGACAAATACTACTTACTCATCCTAAGACTGTGTACTGATTCAATATTTTCTTTGTTTGATATAGATCTATCATGTTTGAGCCCAGAACCTTATAACAATTCTATAATAAATGTGTGGTCAGGTCGCTATGAATTGACATTGTCATTGATACCAACAAGATGGCCAGCAGAATGTGTTGGATTGAGTAAAGCTACACTTGTATATACACTTTATTATGCACCTGTTGATAGTGCTACTACTAGTATGACTTGTGATAATGGCCTCAGTTGTAAAACAAAAGTAAGTCATTTTATTTTTAGAAATATTTATAATGCATTTATGTATATCTATGATCAAAATATGTCAAGCAAACAATAAATACAATTTCTGGATTATGAGAATTTTCGGACTGGATTGCAGGATTTAATTGCTTGGATATATTGCTGTACTATTATTTTAGGAGCTTTTATGTACTAGTAATTCATTTTATATTATTACATAAGGGAAATTGAGATTAATACAGTACATGTAGTATTATTCATATGTTAATTAATATATATGTAATTAAAATGACTTTATTGTTTTTGTACATTTTTGTTCAGAATTATTCACACCTAAATTCATGCCAGTATTTTTCAAGCAAAATGTTTAGATGTATTATTGCATTGTTTCAGAGTTTTTATACTCAGTTTTGCCATGCAAAGAAATATCAGCCATCGTCATTTAATCTAGATTCTCAATGGGCAAGTTTTAGTACTTACATTATGTTGTTTCTCAAATGTCAATTCACCAACATACAATACAGAGATGAAGTGTCATTGACAATCACTTAATTTCTCACTAGGTAATGGTTAAGCCATTCCTATCTATGGCCTCCCTACCTAAGGTTCTTTATATTTGAAAACTGAATGACATAATTTTGTTTCATGAATTGTTTTGTATGAGGTCATTTTTAACAAGATAGTTAAATGTATTATTTTTATTGATTGACAATATTTTCAGGAATCAGAGGATACCAACATCACTATAAGTGATCTCCAGCCTTATACTTATTATGTAGTGCAGGTAGCTGTCAGCAATATCTATACACAAACCTCACAACAACTTAGTAAACATTACATGTATGCAACTCAACCAGGAGGTAAGATTCTGGTCACTATTTTATCACCGACAGTCATTCTCCTAATCTTGATATAACTCATTATACATCTAATGCTGAAAACAATAGACAGTTGTCATTATGTGAAAAGCTGTATCAGCACTCTTGAATGTTCAAATTTTTTCTTATACAGGGTAAACTACATGTGTTTCAAGTTATAATAATAATAATATTAGTACATCTTCTCTTGAACTCATAATATATTCAAATATCTGGTCATCACTTTTCAATTCTGTAATATTGATATTATTAATTAACTTTGTCTTTCTGTTTGGTACCTAAGACATTCCATGAAGAAATGTTCTTCATTTTCAATTTTTATCTGGGAACATTGCTTACAGATTCTGTCTTCTAAAGGTATTTTGGGTTGGGTATGTCTACCCTTCTCAATTTCTAATACATGACTGCTTATTCTGAAACAAGTCATTATGATTTCATGTTTCAGATTGTATAAGAGCAAATATGAATCAAAAGTGTATGAGTCTTTAAACTTTATATACATTCTCAGTTTTCTATTATCATTTGTTGCACTCAACTTCCAGAACTCTACATACCTTTGTCGGATGTTTTTTCGTATGTTTTTTATTTCACTGTGTGATAATTTTTGAGGTGTGACCGACAATGACAAGTTTGTAGTATTTTCGGAGACCATATTTTTTACTGATGTAAACCAATTTAAATTTTGTTGTTTTTGTTCTTCAAAGGCTTGTTTTGTAATATTACTGTCTGGTAATAAGGCACTAATATGATACCAGTATTTAATAAGATTTTCCTGAATATCTACGAGTAATGGAAATTTACCAAGTTCAGCTCTGCATGCTGCATTTAAGGAGAATTTACTCACACCTAGTATTTTTTTGCAGAATTTCAAATGTAACTGTTCAATTGGTGTTTTGTCCCATCTATTATTGTCTAGTATGTCATGTCCCCAAGTTGTTGATCCATATAACAAAATTGGTTTATTACATATCTGAAAAAGGTGCATAAATGTTCTACAGTCAGTCTCTCTTGGCATTGCTTTCAACAGTGCATACATTGCTCTAGTAGCTTTGTCTGCTAAACATTAATTATTATTGACATCACATTCAAACACTTTTTTTTTTTTTTTTTTTTAATAAATGTTTTTGTGCCAGGCGACAGTTCCGAACATTGAATGTCACTGTTGTCTCTCCTGACTTTTTTTTGTAAGTGTTAATTGCAAGTGCTAGTGCTGACACATAGTGCATTTTGCCACAGAAGTCATTTCCTGTTTGGGACTACATGACAGGGCCGTGTGGCCATCTCTCTGTCAAATGGCAATTTGAATGCGCTATCCTGGCATCAACCAGGCTCGGTCGAACACAAGCACCTGCGGACCTTAACAAAGGTTCCCCCAAAGTCGCATTCGTCAGTAAATGAATCTCGGCCAGTGGAATTGGCCTTCCCATTGAGTCTGTGGGACACTCACCCAGGGTAGGTGATGTTCAGCCTAAGGTAGGATTTGAACTCGGGTCTACCGATCATGAGTCTGATGCGACAACCACTATGCTA